AGATGAACATGTAAGACTATCAAACCAGACAGGAGAGTTTTCTCTTACTTGTGTTGCCACAAAATGAAATCCAAGTCACTTACTACACGATGGCGTATCAGCACAAGAAAAAGCTAGCAAGTAGACAAAATAAATAAACAAACCAACAGATAAAATAATGTTTATAAAGCTTATAATTATGTATAAGTCATGGATTATTATAATAACTTAGCTACAAAGGGAGCCTGATTTGAATATGTTCAAAATAAATATTTTGTACATCCAGAGAAATGATTGAAATAAATTATATTAAGAAATTTAGAATTGTCTTCATTTACTTTTTTTCAATAGTTTTGTACATATCTTTAGACAATGTATGACTTTATTAATAAATAGTGCAAAAACATCAGCAATAACTGTTTAAATATTAATTTTTTGTTTTGAAAAGAATATAGATCTTTTTTATTTTTAATATTAAATTTTTAAACAGTCATGTCTTGGCTTAAATGTGTGTATGGCAAAAATAATACATAAAAATGTTTTTCATACTCAGGAACAGGTTACTCAGCTATAATAACTGTTTAAAAATCATAACAGACAAAATAACCTTTGCAATAATTAATTTACTGTTGGGCAGCCACAAATAAATGAATATCAAAATCAAGAAGTATCCTATGAGATATACTCTAGATGTCAGGGTACTGCATTTAATGTATTTGAAAACATAATCTCATTTCTATTACAAGACATATCTACTTTACATGAAGGTGCTCATAAGAAAGTGAAGGAATGTGTTCTTTGATTATAACAAAATCCATATGAAAGGGGGTGTCTACCTTCTCTTAAAAAACAATAAGTTTGCTCACAATCTCAGCAGACATTGTTTCCTGTATCAATAATGACAGTGATTACAAGCACCAGACCTGACATTCTGTCCTGAACTAATTAGTCACTCTCGTTCTATGTATATACATAGAATAAATATACATATATATGTGTATATATATATGGGTGGGTGGGCTTATATAAGGCTTAACAAGGAAGCAGAAAATAAAAATGGGCTATGGTCTCTTGGAGGCCAAGGGCAGTGTCCAAGGGCCAGGCTCAGAGTGGAATGCTCCACCTGCGATGGGGGTGTGGGGACCACGTGTGGTATCCTTGGCCAGGTCCAGAGTGGAATGTTTTACCTGGGGTGAGAGACTATTATTTTCTCCTTGGACTTAGGAGGGAATGACCTGCTTGAGATCAAACTAGGTGCTTTGCTTGACTAAGCAGGATTCAATCCTTCACAAATGATTAGAGCTTCACACGTAGCTAACAAAAACTGGAGAGATTCAGGGCTAGGTTCGAAATCAGGCTGTGTGAAGGGTCAGGATGACTCGAAGAACTTCTTTATGTGGTTCCAGCGACGGTCCCAGGCTCCAGTGTCCCCACAGCCTCCAGGAAAAGCCATTGTTCCCAGCCAGCAGCTCCTCTATTCTGCTCCTTCTCTTCTTCTTCAGGTCTTCACCATCCGCCATATTGTTCTCTGCCTCTTCCCAGGTGCCTTTGCAGAGTGCGAGAAGGCAATTCGACTGGTTTTAATGAACACATTTTACTCACGATAGAACCACACAGAATTCATTGATAAAATGCTTTCCATCCCGGGCAGAGTTGATTTTACCTGTTTTCTTAAATATGTCTTCTCCTCCATTTCCTAGCTTGGAAACTACACTACATACACCCCACCCTTTGTACATGTACATAGAAGCAGCAGAAGCATTGCAACAACACTTAGAGTAGGCCTACTGGCTAGAAGAGTGGGAAAGAAGAAATGACCCGGATGCTTTTCCTATTCTAAATCCCAGATGGTCTGCTGCGTCTAGGCCCTAGATTAAGATTACAAAGAGAATCAAATTCAAGGGTGATGCCATCCAAAACTTGGGAAGCTTCTGTGAAATAGCCCAACCATTTGGGAGGGACACAAGAGAGGCCTTGATTTTTGCTACCTACTAACCTAATGGGTAAAACCTCAAGCTTCAACACGTTGGAGGCAGTTAATTCTCACCCAAACACCCTATCACTTTGAAGTAAAGAGGTCAGGTCTGGCTGGCGCCATATTGGCCTCATGGTGGATGGTAGTGTCTGGGGGATGTCTTCATGCTGGGGGAAGGAAACACCCCTGCCCATCACCTGATGGGCATGCCCAGATCGCTGGAGGCTGGGGCAGACCGTTGGCTGATAGGTTACTGGATAGGTTACTGAACCTGTCAGTCCAATGCCTGGGTCTCAGAAGTTCCTGTGGACCTGCACCCTTATTTAGGCACGGATCACTCCAGAAGCCATTATTCTGTGCCAGGTGTCGCCATGATCGTGTCCTGTGTTCTGTCTCCTGGATCATCCCCAGTCATCATGGCGTCCCAATTCGGCTCTCAATTGGAGCTGAACTGGCTTATTGGTATTGTTTTGTTCTTTCTTTCCTCTCTGGTCTGTTTCCTAACCATGTTATATGTATTTGGGGGCTGCAGGCCTTCATAACAGTGGGCTGTCTGCATCCTGCTGACTGTATAATAAAGACTCCTATATTTCATCTACCTAAATGTGGCTTCTGAGATGATTTACCTTACACCTTTACTTTCAGAATCAGTCTGCTTTTTACTATGTTCAAAACAACGGATAACCTCTGTCACAACAAAAAGAACTTAGTATTTAGGTGCCATTATTTCAAGTTTGATAAAACTACTCTCCATCAACATAAAATTAAGTGCTAGTGGAATTTCCTTGTGAAAAGGGGAAACACTTGTTCAGTTAGAACTTGAGGCTTTGCCTTTGAACACATGCCAAGTAATTTTCCTAGGAAATTAGTCCCTAAAGACAAGCTGTTGTGTGGTCCCCAGACCTATTAAGTAAGAAGAAGGCTCCCTGGACTTCTCAAACAGAGAAGAAATGAGAGTCAGCCCCACCTCCCACTTTGCTTATATCCACAGGGCTACTCAAAATTCTTTTGAGACATACCTTCCTGCAACACTTTCCATTTGCAAAATCCGAAGACAAAATTTAAATTGCATATTTACCTTAGAATACAAGCCATGTACACACACAAATTTAAAAATGTTCAAGTCAGGGAAAAACAATCCTATATTATGGAATTTTTGAACCCTTACACGGAATTCATATTCTATTTGTGCCAAAAACTGGGATCAATGCATCTTTTGGCATATAATATTGTGGGAAGCTCTCTTTTTTTTCACCAATTCTGGCTCAATGTAAGTATTTTTCTTAAACTCACAATGTTATAGAGCAAATAAATTGTTACAGAGGCTTTATTAGAAGAATGTTCATGCATTTGTGCCGCGGACCGGCTCTGTCGGGACGACGGAGGACACCTAGTGGAGGAACTGGAATAGGTGGGGAGATGGCAAACAGACAACTCACACACAAGAGGAGTGGATGCTGAGTGCAATTTAATGCAGAGGATAACAAACTTTTATAGCAAAAGTCTCCATAAGAAAGGGCAAAAGGTTACACAATCTTGCTGCAGGGCTTCATTCTTGGGTGGTCACCAGCTGGTCGCCTGATAGGCACTTGTTTCTGGCTTATCTCTATTTTTAAGAAATACAATGGGTTTCGATGTTTGTCACCAATTAACCATTACCTTTTTTTATAGAGGCCTTAACTGTCCCATAAGATCTTTCCTGTTTCTTCTTTAATAGTAAGCTAGTAACAAGAAATTCTTTCTCCTAAGTAGTTCTCCCAGCAATTGCCACACATTCTTTCTGTTCTAGCCGCGCCTACAGCTTCTTGTAAATCTCTTATAAACAATTCCTTCTGCTGAAGTGACGTCGTGAAACCCCCAATACTTTTATATTTACTTATAACTTATCTACTAGCCTCCATAAGAAGGGCTTTCAGGGTAGCACTTAACTCTGGTGAGTTAGTCATATTTTTAAGACACTCATCAGATATTGGAGTTGTCAATACTCTTAAGAAAGAGCTTTGAATAAGGGAATGTTGAGCATGAGTAAGCACAATGAGCAGCAGAAACAGTAAAAGATTAATAGGCACTCTTATACAGTGAAGAAAAGAAAAGCAGGGACAGAAACACATCTTTCCCAGGGGCTTGCCAGCCTTTCCAGGAGGTAGGCCGCTTTGAAGGCCCATTCTCTGAGGTAGACTTCGGTGAAGTCCCATTCTCAGAGATAGGTCTCTGTGAAGCCCCATTCTCAGGTCTGAAAACAGGTTTCCCATGCTAAGCAGACTCCACCGGAGTAGGCGTGGCACATTTGGTCCTTACTCTAAATGATGTGAGGATTTGTGGAAACTGAACTACAATGTAGTTATTTAGAAAATGTACATTTTAAAGTAATTTAATTCTGAAACATTACATCTTCTGGTATAAAGTTTATATGTGATCTAAAAGCATACTATTGTAAATCAATTGAGGTATTGATTATTAGAATTTATCAACAATATAAACACAGTAATACAGGACACATTTAAGTCTATTTTCATTATGGTCTATTGTACATTTAAGCCTTTGGCTCATTAAACTGATTGTAAGTAAAAGTACAGTAAATAGTATGAGCATGCTCTTTGGAGTCATACTATATGAACAATAACCATAGACTTAATATGCATTGTCAATGACTTCAGCTAAGTCATGTGAGCTCACTTCACTCTTTGCCTAATCTAAAGTACATGGGTTATAATGTAATGAATGGCATAAAAATTGTGGGGGTCAAGTGTGTCAGTAAAGAATATATTTAGCATATGACAAGGTCAGTTCTAACCATGATGAAGTTATCTTCTTTTATATCATGGCAAAAGTCATTTTATACATATATTTATACATAATGGTAAATGTTTAAGTCATATTGTAAAAAATGTGTGATTAACTTTGAGACAGCCTAAGCTATGGATAAAAATACTAGACCATTCAGAAAATCACAATGCACACACACACACACACACACACACACAAATCTTTACTTATTGGAGCTAAGTATCACTTTTCTTTTCTTTACAGTGACCATAAGCACACCATGAGAACCTGGAATAACACAAAGTATCCTGATTTCATCCTTATGGGACTGACAGGCTCTGGCGAGGTGCAGCTGGCACTGTCTGTGTTGTTTCTCCTGATTTACCTGATTAGTGTGCTAGGCAACCTAGGCATGATCATGATAATTCGCCTGGATCTCCAGCTTCACACCCCTATGTATTTTTTCCTCACTCACCTCTCATTTCTTGACCTCAGCTACTCAAGTGTCATCACCCCTAAAACCCTAGCGAACTTACTGACTTCCACAAAGAGTATTTCCTTCCTGAGCTGCTTCACCCAGATGTACTTTTTTGTCCTGCTTGGTGCTGCAGAATGCTTTCTCCTCGCCTCCATGGCCTATGATCGCCACGTGGCTATCTGCAGTCCTTTGCGCTATCCAGTGATTATGTCCAGAAGATTCTGTCAGGTCCTGATCACAGGGTCCTACCTGATTGGTTTCATGGACTCTTCTGTGAACACTGTGTGTATGAGTAGATTAAAGTTTTGTAACTCCAATATAATCTCACATTTTTTTTGTGACACAACCCCAATGTTAGCACTGTCCTGCACTGATACATATGAGGTTCAAATTGTAATATTCATTTTTGCTGGTTTTACCCTAATGGTCTCCCTTATCACAATATCTGTGTCCTATGTGTCCATTCTGTCCACTATTTTGAAAATTAAATCCACCTCAGGGAAGCAGAAAGCCTTCTCCACCTGTGCCTCTCACCTGCTGGGAGTCACCATTTTCTATGGCACTATGATCTTCACTTATTTAAAACCCAAGAAGTCTTACTCCCTGGGCAAGGATCAAGTGGCTTCTGTGTTTTACACAATTGTGATCCCCATGCTCAACCCACTCATTTATAGCCTTAGGAACAAGGAAGTGAAGAGTGCTTTCTTTCGAGTCATGCAAAAGAGAGTATTCACTGGGCAACTAAAATAACAACGATGTGTAACGTACTTTTTAATTCATCCTTAAAACCAATTCCTTTTAGTCATGTCATTGTCTGCCTGTAAGAATAATTATATAATTAGTCTACATTTCTGTAGAACTGTCATTCATTTATACAATGATGTTGAGACATTTCCTGCAACATTTTAAAATTGCATATTGTGTTTGTCCATCATGACATATGTGCTTGAAGGACACCTAATATTCATAAAAAGAAAATCTTGTCAATCTTAAAACTGTGTCACATAGTATACCTTTCTTTGTTTTAAAATTTTATTTTATTGTACAGGTGATGTGTGCAGAGGGGTTACGTGACATAAGTAAGAGAATCAGTACATATTTTGTTGAACATTGTTATCCCTTCCCTCATTTTCTCCCACTTTCTCTTCCCCATCCTTCTTCCCTCCTCCATCCCCCACCCCTGCCAAGTTGTAAAGTTCATTTCCAGCATTGTGTCTTGTAAGAATCACTGTTGCATTACTTCATTCTTTGTCCTTTGTCTCACCATTTTGTCTTCCCCTTTTCCTTCCCCAAATCAGATAAACATATGTACAAGATACACAGTACCAAAATCAAAAACAGTGATAACAGATGATCGGCTAAAGGGGGGGGGGAAAGAAGGAAAAAAGAAATAACTTCACACAATACATTAAAAGAAACAAAAACCCTTCTTGTTTCCATATCCTGGAGTTCATTTCTATATCCATCTTTTTATATGGTCAGAGAACATAGCTATTGAACTAGTGTCATCCTTTGCTAGGACTATCCCAGACATTTACTAATTATTACAAATGAAGGAAACCATAGAGGCTATGTTTCTTGACATCTGGAATACTTCACTTAATATGTTTTTTTGCTGAGCCTTTCCATCTCCTTATGGATAGAGCAATGCCATTCCTTCTGATGGAAGCATAGAGTTCCTTTGTGTGTATATGCCACATTTTCTTGATCCAGTTAGAATGGCTATAATCAAGAACTCTAATAACAACAGATGCTGGAGGGGATGTGGACAGAAAGGAACATTACTGCATTGTTAGTGGGAGTGTAAACTTGATTAACCACTTTGGAAACTAGTGTGGAGGTTCCTCCCCTATGACCCAGCAATTCCACTTTCAGGCATTTACCCAAATGATCACAAACAAGACCATAGGAAAGCTACCAGCAAAACTATGTTTACTGCAGCATTATTTACCATAGCTAAGATATAGAACCAACCCAAATGCCCCTCAGAGATGAACGGATCAAGAAAATATGGTATATATACACAATGGAATTCTATACCTCCATCAAAAAGAATGGCATTGCCCCCATTAGTTAGGAAATGGAAAGACTTGGAAAAAATTATATTAAGTGAAGTAAGCTAGGCCCAAAGAAACATAGGTCCCATGGTTTCCCTTATTTGCAATAGCTCGTATATGTCTGAGGCAAGCAGAAACTGTCAAATAAGTTGATGTTAGGCGAAATGATCCCCAAGGTAAGGATTCAAATGTTTTTTTTTTCATTCTTGTGATTGTTTCTAACATATTTATAAGATGAATTATTTGTTGCTTTGTATGTCCCTCCTCCAAGGTATAACCCCTGCTTTCACTGTATTTTATGTTGGTTTAATTTGTGGAGGGGAAGGGAAAAAACACATTATTTAAATAGGGGTACAGGTGGACCCATTGCAACAATGAGATATACAAGACGTTATGTCAAAAACCAAACTTTACAACTTTGGCCGGGGGATAGGGGGGTGGTGTTAGTGGGGTAAGAGGGGTGGGGGTGTGGGGGGGAGAAGGAAGGGATGGTAAGGGGAAACAAAGGAGGAGGCAACAATGCTTGATAAGAAATATACTCATTACCTTGCCCAAGTAATTGTAACCTCTCTGTACTCTATTTTCATAATAAAAACAATGATGCTTATTGAAATGAACTGCCGAAATGGAAACAAGAGGTTTGGGTGTTTGTTTATTTCTTTTTTAATCTTACTGTACTGTTTGCAGTTATTGCTTTTTTCTTTCATTTTTCCTTTGGTTTATTCCCTGTTGTCACTGTTTTTGATTTCTAAATTCTTTGTCTTTTTTATTAGTCTATCTGATTTATGAAGGAAAGTACAATCACACAATCTGACAAAGGGTAAACCAATTCAACAGTGATACATACAAGACACTATATTGGAAATTAATTTTAAAGTGTGTTGGGGGGAAATTTGGGAAAAAATGGGAGAAAATGAGGGAAAATATTCAAAATAATGTACTCATCTTACTTATATAAATGTAATCCATTTATACATCATTGGTACAAAAAATTTAAATTAGAAAAGAAAGAAAACAAATGAAATGTAATTACTTGTTTTCTTTGTTTTTTTTTTTAAATTTAGTGTACATTATGAAGACTAGTAACAATTATGCTCTTTTGATCTTGGAGTAGCCAGGTTCAATAGTCATTTCTAGCTTGTTGTCTAAGCTATCTTAGGTTTTGTTGATCCTTAGAGGTGTACACACTCAGTAAGCACTACATCAGTTTACACTTTTGAATTTCACAAGGGCTTTTGGTAACTTCTGTGATGCAGAAGTGAAAAGAAAAATTTAAATAATGGAAGAGAAAACTCTAGTTTTGAGTCAAACTGGGGAAAATATAGAAATAACTACCTTACTCTGTTTAATGTTTGGATCAATAGGACAATTGAAGCAACATTTTACCAGAGAAAGACTGAGTGATAGGATCCCATTGATTCTGGAAATGTACAGATGTAAGCTATTTCAAACCAGAAAATCCTGAATAAATCATTTAATGCATAATCCATGAAGGTCAGATTACACAAAAGAAGCAGAGTGATTCCTGTCCATTGATGATTAATTAATTCAGATAAATTTGGACAAATTTCAGACATGAAATTGACAAAATAGGCAGAGGTTTCTACCATGTTAGATTATAAAATTGATGATAGTTTGTTTGGAAATATTTTAGTAATATAATCAAGATTTGAATTTCCTCCAGTTTCTGATTAAACAAGAGTAGATGTACCATCAGCATACTTGACAATTCTTCTTATATTTAAAAATTCACTTGATTGACGAACCAATTTCTTTTCAATAATTTCTTCATTGCCTCCTTTACGTCTTTGTTTCTCAAACTGTAAATGATGGGATTCAGCATGGGGATCACAATGGTGTAAAATGTCGACACAATCATATCATGCTCCAAGGCATAGTTAGAACTTGGTCTCACATACATGAAGAGGATCGTCCCATGATAAATGGACACTCCAGTTAGGTGAGAGCCACAGGTAGAGAACACTTTTCTCCTTCCTTCAGCTGAATGCATTCTCAGAATGGCCAACAGAATGAAACCATAGGAGACCAGGACAATCAGAATAGTGACTATCTCAATAGACCCTACACAGTAGAAGAGTAGAAGCTGGTTTATTTTTGTGTCAGAACAGGAAATAGCAAGTAGTGGAGGAATATCACAGAAGACATGCCTGATTTCATTGGATCCACAGAAGGACAGGCTAAAGGTAGCCACTGTGTGTATCAATGCATGTGTAATGCCACCAAGATAGGAAGCCATGATGAGTGGCAGATAAACTCTGGCTGACATGGTCACTGAGTACAGGAGGGGGTTGTAGATGGCTACATAGCGGTCATAAGCCATAGCAGCCAAAAGAAAACATTCTGTGGTTCCAAAAGTCACAAAGAGAAGCATTTCTGTGACACACCCTGCATAAGAAATGGATTTATTCTTTGCAAGAAAATTTACCAACATCTTTGGTGTGACAACGCTAGAATAGCAGGCATCCAAGAATGATAACACACTCAGAAAATAGTACATGGGGTTGTGTAGCCGAGAATCTACTATTACCAATAACACCAATCCCAAATTGCCTACTAGAGTAAAAAGATAGACTGCTAGAAATAGTAAAAATAAGATGACTTGCAGTTCAAAATCATCTGTGAATCCCCTGAGTATAAACATGTTAACTTCAGTCTTATTGTTTGAATGAATTCTGAACAAATCCATACTTCGTGGTATCCCTGGCATTTGTTGGTCCTCAAAGCAATAGCTTGTGAACCTAGAGTCCAGTTACATCTTCATCTTCACATTTTTGGCACACATAAGGAAGTCTTCAAGGCAGATTGATTGAGCAGTTATGCAGGTAGGTCCAGCCAGATGCATGGTTCTGTTTAAATGAATTGAAGAATATATTTTATTCATTTACTGTCTTTTTCTCATGCAACCACAAATGATCTACCTATTACACTGGCTGAATTTCTAGTTTCTTTTTCTTTCTTTCTGGAAATAAACAAGGACTTCTTACCTGCTAGGCAAGGGATTTACCACTGATCTATATACCAATGTATGCCTTCCATTTTATCAAATTTCTACATTAATTTCATATTGTATGTCTGCATTTTCAAAGTTAGGGTTCTCCTGCTTGAGCTTTAGCTCATTTTTTATTTTGTTTGTGTTTGTTTTTGTGTTGTTTTGTTTGGCTGGTTAATTGGAGAAGAGTCTCAAGGACTTCCTTGTCCAGGCTGCTTCCAACTGTGATTCTCAGATCTCAGTCTCCTAAGTGGCTAAGCTTATAGGTCTGAGCCACTGGAACCTGATTTTAAAAAACAAAAATCACTATTTAAACAATTTTAAATAGGGATACAGGTGGGCCCATTGCAGCAATGAGATGTACAAGATGTTATGTCGAAAAACAAAATTTACAACTTTGGCATGGGGGTGAGTGGGGGAGGAGGTGAGGGGAGTTGGAGATGGGAAGGGATGGGAAGGAGAAACAAGGGAGGAGGACCAATGTTTGATAAGAAATGTACTCATTACCTTGCTCATGTAATTGTAACCACTCTGTATGGTATTTTCTCAACTAAAAAATCTCTAAAAAGTTTTACAAATGGGATTTTAATTTGAGCAATGAGTACAACTATCTCAATCAATGTCACCCCTTCCACCGTTTTCCCCCATGTCTCCCATCCCTACCCATTCCCTCAATCTGAATTTCCTTTTCATCTGACAATCATCCCATTCCATTAGCACCTGAGAGATAGAAATGAGCAGAATAGATGATGCTCTTAACAGAAGTAATCTTGTTTGCATAAAATGGTTAATTCAAAAGATTAATGTATTTGTCTCCTGAAGTAAAATTTTTCTTAAAGTATTCTTTAAATTTTCATTCTTGACACAAATACCATTAATTGTCCATTTGTGACATCCATTTTTACTGGTATTTTTAAATGAATTTGAATTTCATAGAATGAGAGGTTTCAATTTATATTCTGATTTTTAAGCAGTCCTTGAGCATATATATATGTATATTTAATACATAATTTTGTTAAAATTAATTCATGGGATATACAAAACTATACAAATAAAATATATCCCATATGTTTCTTTTTTTCTTTTTTTATGTATTTATTTTTAATTGTGAAAATACCATACAGAGGGGTTACAATTACATGAGCAAGGTAATGGGTACATTTCTTATCAAGCATTGTTGCCTCCTCCTTTGTTTCCCCTTCCCATCCCTTCCCATCCCCCACTGTCCCCTATCCCCTGCCAGAGCCAAAGTTGTAAAGTTCGTTTTTTGACATAACGTCTTGTACATCTCACTGTTGCAATGGGTCCTCCTGTATCCTTATTTAAACAATTTGTTTTTTCCCTTCCCCTCCCCAAATTATACCAACATCAAATACAGTGTAAACAGGGGTTATACTGTGGGGGAGGGACGTACAAAGCAACAAAGAAATCATCTTATAAATATGTTAGAAACAATAGCAAGAAAGAAAAACCATTTGAGTCCTTATCCTGAGGTTCATCTGTTTCCTTGCACTTTATTTTGTGAAAATTTCTTCTGTTACAATGGTAGCCACATTTCTTTCCTATCTACTGGGAAATATTTTTCTACATGGTTCATCTATATTAATTTGTTTAGTTCTGTTTTAATTTAGTTAGTCCTAACAATACCATGGGTAATGTACGATAACATTTTCCATTTTAAAATGAGACATCCTTTGTGGAAACTAATTTGCATAGGGTTACCTCAGTAGTTAGCAGTGGAAGTTGACATCTAGTCAGACTTGAGAGTGTGCTCACATTCAGTTTACAGAAGCAATGCCGCAATGATGGATGTGAATCCCACATGTTTCTATACCAATGTTTACAGAAATTATTAAACACAATCATAGTGTGAGTCATAAATGTGCATGCAACAACTCAAAAAAAATTGAATTCTTTTGTATCTAGACAGAATGCTTTTATAATGAAAACTAAAATATTAGATCAACTATAATACCTAACAAATTTTAAGAATTTGGGCTGAGTTGGAGGCCAGTAGAGTTTATCTTACGCATGTGAAGTCATGGGTTTAGTCTCCACACTTTAAGTCCCTCTCCACAAAACAAGCAAATTTCCAAACACAGATTCATGATGATGGATTTCATTTTTCCTCCTACATGTCCCACACCAAACTACATTACCAATACAATAATATTTACTGGACACAGAGCTGAACTGGATGTAAAAAATTTATTTATACTCAATATGAAAAACACTAGATTTTGACATACTAAACCTCCTATCAATCAAAAACATCGTGAGAATGATATCTGAAAACTCTTTAGAAGAAGAAACCATATGTCTTTTTTCTCAATAAGCATCTCAGAGGATTTCTGGGGAAGATGTTTTAATATATATAGAACAAAAATTTCATAAAGTAGGATTACAAGCAGTCAAAAGCTTGATCCTTTGAGATTTCTAGAATTCTTAATTAAAATAAATTCAAATTTCTTTGTGTAAAGTGAAAAAATTAACATTTAACATACAGAGATGAAATATTTTCTATTTTTGTTTGGATACATTTATAAAAATAATTAATAAACCATCAACTAGTCCTACAACCATACGTGCAAGTGTAAGAATTCACGCAGTATCTTTACAATAAAAATATATATATGTATATGGTCCTGAAGAAAGGATCATAAATTCTTTTTTCCATATTTGCCTGCGAGGATATTCCTCTTGTAATATGAAATGTCTTTAGATATTTAGAGTTTGATTGGAGTGGGTCAAACAATCACAAGCAAGGTCAAACCAAAGCTATCAGCACAACAATGTTTATTATAGCATCATTCACCATTGTTTATTGTAGCATTATTCACCATAGCTAAGATAGGGAACCAACCCAGGTGCCCCTCAGTAGATGAATGGATCAAGAAAATGTGGTATATATACACAATGGAATTTTATGCCTCCATCAGAAAGAATGACATTGCCTCATTTGTTAGGAAATGGAAAGACTTGGAAAAATTAATACTAAGTGAAGTAAGCCAGGCCCAAAGAAACATAGGTCCCATGGTTTCCCTTGTTTGCAATCACTAGTACATGTCTAGGACAAGCAGAGAAGGTCAAAGGCTATGTATATATGACCATATAAGATGATGTTAAGCAAAATGTACCCCAAAACAGGGACACAAGTGGCTTTTTCTTTCTTGCTATTTTTTTTAATGTACTTATAATGCACTATGTGGTTCTTTTGTTTCTTTTGTATGTTCTTCCCCCATGGTATATCCCCTGTTTTCACTGTATTTGATTCTGGTGTTCTACTTCTTGTATATACATTTTAATAAGTTGGGGAAGGGAAGAGATAAAGCGGAATGCTTAATTGGAGATACAAGTTGACCCATTGTGACAATGAGATGTACAGCAAAAAGTTGAAAACAAAATTTACAAACTCAGTGGGGCATGGGGGGGCAGAAGGAGGGGAAAAGGAGGAGTTGGAGAGGAGGGGAGAGAAGGGATGGTAGGGAAAAAACAAAGGAGGAGGTAACAATGCTCGGTAGGAAATATACTCATTACCTTACTCATATAACTGTAACCCCTCTGTACAGAATTTTTACAAAATTTTATAGAATTATATATATATATATATATAAGAATTCAAAAAAAAGAATTTGTGTATTGATTAGTCATTTCAAATACACTAAATTGTGTTCCTGTTGAAATATATCCCTTCAAAATTATCTAAACTCCACAATTTTTGTCTTTCAAGGTTCTAGTTATGATGAATTTTGATAGACAAAAATTATTAGTAGTCCTAGGACTCCATTTGGAAGACAATTTCAGGTGAAGTAGAATCCTCTTTCTTAGATTTTAATACTTTATGGCATAAAGTTCAGTTTGTAAGCAAGTTATGACTAATAGATACTTCCTAAGTAGTAGAAAGCTTTTCCTCTTACCTTTTCAAATGAACTGCTTCACCAAGTAAGGCAAGCCACAAGTGTTACCTATTTTAATCCTTCTACTACATGCTGAAGACCCTCCTGAGGTACACAGGGAAGTCTCAAGGAGAAAACACACTAATTGCCTTCTGGGAAATGAAAATGCCAAGGTAATCTTTGTAAATACAGGAAGAAAATCTTTGTAAATACATGAAGGATTAAAAGTAATCAATTATATGATAAATGACAAAACAGAATACAGAACTGAACACTAAACCCAAGAATCAAATTATCCCTCAATGAAGATAAATATATGCTTAAAAGTAGGATATAAATATAATGTGTTGGAAATAGATCCAATTTTTAGACTAATTAGGTGACACTGATCTTATAAAATTCTTTAAAATTCAGTTTTCTCCTCTTGAAAATAGAATTTTTTCAATTTTCTGTGTCTTGTGAAGATATATAGATGTAACATATCACATATGTTTGTGTAGATTATATGATATATAATGTATACAATAATGTATAATATATTAGAATGATTATAATATATAATGTATTATAATATATAACAATATATGATAAATTACAACATAGTATAATATATATTGTATATAATAAATATTATATATGTTATTTATAAGTCATTACAAATATATACATGTATATTAAATACTAAATAAATAATATAAAGATGTAACCCTTGACAAAATGTGTGATCATCAATTAATATAATAACTTCTCATGCTGGTTTTTATAAAACTCTGTTTAATCCACCTTCCTCTTCATCATCAAAATATTACCTTTTGAATTCTTTCAGTATTTTAGGCATATATATATATATTATATAGAGTATAGATATGTAATATATATATAGATGTTTGTATGTAACTATATCATGTAGATATAAGCTATATGTATATTAAATACTTAATGAACTAATATAAAATATAACTTATGAAAAATGTCTAGCCTTAAATAATCTACCTATACATAATGATTTAGATTTTAGTGTGCTGCAATTCCTAATAGTGTGGGAACTTTTAGCTTATTACATGATTAATAAAACAACTAAAATATAAAGGCTTATATTTAAACTAAATACATAAATGGAAGCCATTACCAGGAGAGTTATTTTAATATTTAGTACTTGTTTGATTCCTGTATGACCTCCCTCATCTGTTTATCATCTTTTCCTTTTGTCAGTGTATTTTGTAAATTCATGAGCTCCATGCAGTCAATTAATTTGCCACTTTCCCACTAAATTCTTAGGGAAACTGATAATCACATTAAGATTTTACTGTATTACAGATTAAATAAACTTTAGCCTGTGGTTAAGTGAAATTTCTTCATGTTAACATTTGGTCATAAATTATCATCTTTTTTTCTCCTCTTAATAACAGATTCTTTAATTTTGTTGTATGTATTCGTTCTTGCATTTTTTCAGGTAATCAGTATTTAGAGTAAATCTGAGGTTTGTTGATGTTGGTAAAAACTGAGTTTTCTTTTTTTTATTAAATTTTTATTTTTATTTTTTGTGAACATACTGTACAGAGGGGTTACAATTACATGAGCAAGATAATGAGTATATTTCTTATCAAGCATTGCAGCCTCCTCCTTTGTTTACCCTTCACATCTCTTCCCAGCCTCCCCCCCATCCCCCAACCATACGTCCCCTCCCCCCCCCACCGAAGTTGTAAAGTTCGAAAAACTGAGTTTTCTATTTCTGCTGGTCTTTTGTCATCATCACTCAACCCATTTTACTCTAAGGATTTTTGTTTCTGTTTTTTAATAGCAAAATGCTTATTCTCATATCTAGAAATCTTTCTTACCTTCTCGTCTTTCAAAGTGGCTCACTAAAAATGCTTTCTAGCATCATATTTAATCACTCCACTAATTTCTTAATTCAAATCTCATACAAATGAACTGATGTTATTTTCTCTACAATACATGCAAAATCTTTTTTTGTGTGTTTTTGTTTTTTTTATTGTGAGAATACCCTACAGAGGAGTTACAATTACATGGGCAAGATAACAAGCTTATTTCTTATCAAGCATTGTTGCCTTCCCTTCCCATTTCTTCCCATACTCCCCCTACCTAATCCTCTCCCCTCTCCCTCCCCCCTCCCCCACGCCACCAAAGTTGCAAAGTTCATTTCTCCACATAATGAATTGTACATCTCATTGTTGCAATGGGTCCACCTCTATCCCTAGTTAAACGATTGGTTTTTACCCTTCCCCTCCACAAATTATAGGAACATCAAATACAGTGAAAGCAGGGATTATACCGTGGGGGAGGGACATAGAAAGCAACAAAGAAATCATCTTATAAATGTGTTAGAAACAATTGCATGAAAGAAAAAAAAGCATTTGAATACTTATCTTGGGGTTCATTCCCCTAACATCAAATTATCTAATCTTTTCTGCTTGACTCAGACATATTCTAGTTATTGCAAATAAGGGAAACCATGGGACCTATGTTTCTTTGGGCCTGGCTTACTTCACTTGATATAAGTTTTTTCCAAGTCTTTCCATTTCCTAACAAATGGGGCAATGACATTCTTTCTGATGGAGACAAAGAATTCCATTGCGTATATATACCACATTTTCTTGATCCATTCAGCTACAGAGGGGCATCTAGGTTGGTTCCATATCTTAGCTATGGTAAATAATGTTGCAATAAACATAGTTGTGCTGGTAGCTTTAGTGTGGTCTTGTTTCTGTTATTTGGGTAAATGCCAAAGTGGGATTGCTGGGTCATAGGGAGTTCTATGTGAAGTCTTTTGAGGAACCTCCATACTACTTTCCAAAGTGGTTGAACAAGTTTACACTCCCACAAACAATGCAGTAGGGTTCCCTTCTATCCCTCCAGCATCTGTTGCTATTAGAGTTCTTGATTATAGCCATTCTAACTGGGGTGAGGTGGTATCTCAATGTTGTTTTGATTTGCATTTCTTTTATGGCTAGGGAGGTTGAGCATTTCTTCATGTGTCTATTGGCCATCCTTCTTCCCTCTTCAGAGAAGTTTTTCTTTAAGTCTTTAGCCCACTTATTTATTGCGCAGTTGTTTCTTTGAGGATTTGTTGTTGGGGGATTTAATTTTTTGAGTTCCAGGTATATTTTAGATATGAGACCCTTGTCTGTTGTATGGCTAGTGAAGATCTTCTCCGAATCCGTAGGCTTTCTATTGATCTTGCTAGCTATGTCCTTTGCCATGCAGAAGCTCTGCAAGTTTATGCAATCCCATTTGCCCAAACTTTTTTTGATTTGTTGTGTTTCTGAGTCTCTATTAAGAAAATTTTGGCCTGTGCCAAGGAGACCTAGGGTTTCTCCTATTCCATCCTGCAATATTTTCAGAGTGTCTGCTTTGACTCCGAGGTCTTTGATCCATTTGGAGTTGATTCAGGTGCAGGGTGATATATAGGGATCTTGGTTTAGTTTTCTACACGTAGTTAACCAATTTTGCCAGCACCATTTACTGAAGAGGCTGTCTTTCCTCCATTCTATTTTTTTAGCTTCCTTATCGAAGATTAGATGGCTATAGGTCTTTAGGTTCATTTCTGGGTTTTCAATTCTATTCCATTGGTCCTGAGGTCTATTCTTGTGCCAGTACCAAGCTGTTTGGATTACTATGGCTTTGTAGTAGAGTTTGAAATTTGGTATTGTTAGTCTTCCAGCACTGTTCTTTATGTTGAGGATCATTTTTGCTATTTGGGGTCTTTTATTGTTCCATATGAATTTTTGGATTGCCTCTTCTATTTCCTTGAATAATGAGGTTGGATCATTGATAGGTATCACATTGAAATTGTAGATAGCCTTGGGAAGTATTGCAATTTTTTCTAAAAATATGATGTTTTCTAAAATACAATGTTGATCTTTCCAATCCAGGAGCATGGAAATTTTTGCCACTTTCTAAGTTCTGTTTTGATTTCCTTTTTCAAGTTTTTAAAGTTTTCATCATAGGTGTCCTTCACTTCTTTGGTTAAGTTAATTCCTAGGTATTTTATTTTTTGTGGGGCTATTACAAATGGAGTTGCTTTCCTAATATCAGCCACACTTTTCTCATTCTTGGCATACAAGAAAGCCATTGATTTTTGAGGGTTAATTTTATACCCTGCTACTTTGCCAAGGTTTTCCACATCAATGATCATTCATATCACTCTCTCAAAAAGGAATATCCAGGAAGTTGACCAAAAGGGAGAAATGGTTTATACCTTGCTTTGTGCCAGTATTAAAGATGTTCATTATTACAGTTTATTAAACACATATGTGGGTTTTTGTATCTTTCAGTAATATATTTATCACATACCACAGCTTGTGTTTATATATGTATATACATGCATGTCAAATGAATAATATATTTCACAATATCTTAGAGTTTACAATTTTGTTTTCTTCATTTGCCTGACATTTTGGTTGAGTTTCTATTATAATATTTCTCCAAAAGCTCAAAGTTCATTTACTTCTTAATAGCAAGTATGTAATATGACCAGAATAACATGAAATATATTTGAAGATGACTTCCTCCTCCTTCTGCTAGATTTTGTAAGGCATGTTGTGATTGTATATTACTGTGGTTAATTCAAATAGTTTACTTTTTCATATATAAATTGGTTTATATTGTGAGCATGAGAAAATTGGTCCCTAGGGATGTTAAATGATAACCCAGTAAGTAGCAAGTCTCTGTTATAATGTTCAGGATTCCTGTCTTAAGGATTCTTGTCTATTATTCAAACACTTTTGAAACAGTTTCTGGAAGCATTATTTTAAACCAGAGATCAAAGCACACTTTTCACTGTAAAAACCATTACGTGTCATGTCTTTCTGCAGAGCCATTTACAGATTCATTACTTAGTAAATCATCATATTGTTTCCTGAACATGAAGATAGATAATTAGAGAGCATTTCCCCCTGGAACAGCATCTCTTTGGGGCTTCAGGAGCAATTGTGTTCATATAAAACCTCTTATTTTATGAACCATGTTCATAGTAATTCCAAACTCACAACTTTTGTTTCACAGGTAAGAGAAACCATATAATTTTTTTTCTAAATATATTAAGAAACCAAAAATTTACTATTTACTACACTAAACAGGTAGCATAAAATCTCACTTCTTGCTGATTGCATAGAGAGGTAGAACATATGTACTACATTTTAATTAGAATTCAAAATGAACACAATCTGAAAAGTAACAAAGGTAATAAGAAATATTACATTTTTGTTAGTAGAGGTAAATAAAAATGTTCTAACTAGGGCACACACTTCCATTTTCTCAAGGAAAGAGAAGGTCTCTTGAAGTATGAACAATTAGTAAATTGCAGACAAAGGCTAACAAAAAGGTTAAAATAAAAATGTCCAACATTCAAGGAGCATCGATTTTTTGGGGGGTAGGGATGGGAGGGAATGTGTAGCTTGAACTCTGGGTCTGGGCACTGTCCCTGAGCTCTTCAGCTCAAATTGAGCACTCTACCATATGAGCCACAATGCCACTAAGAGTCTCATGGGCTTTCCTGCACTAGCTGGCTTTTAACCAAGACCTCAGAACTCAGCCTCCTGACTAGTTAGTATTACAGGCCTGAGCCACCAGTGCCCAGCATGTCTGCAATTTTGATCAATGGAGAAAAGTAATCAATCTTTCAATTTGGCTTATCTCACGAGTTAGGTAATTTTGAAGCAATTCCACAGTATTTCTGATTTCCAGTATTTTTAAAAAATTGCAAACCATTTCAAGAATGTTTCCTTCCTTTTCACCAAGAGGTAGGGATGTCACTTAGAAGCAGGGATTTACTAGCCAGAGGCAAGGGGGGACAAAAGTCCCAGAATTTTGAGTGAGACATCATGCTGGCTTTGCTTTTGACACTGATCTTAACGTGTTGCTGTAAAAGTGGAATAAAATATTTCCCACAAAAGCCCATCACTGTCTCAAGTGCTCAAAAGCTAGCTATTATTGTTCTTTGTTTGCCAACTTAGTGTAAACAATATTATGTTGTTTTCTGCCTTTCACTTCACTTGCAGTCATGTATAGGAATTAACTTAAAAATTACTTGTCATTACAATTTCCAAGAACAATAGTCATTTTATCCTTACAATTCTGATTTAACACAAGCTATTGTTTTTTAGAGAACCTCATGATACCTCTTTTTTTGCATCCTGTGGTGTGGATATTGAAAAATAAATGTTAATGTAGAATGAATATAGAAGGTAGAAAATGATTCCTAGAGAGTAGGAGGGAAGAAAGAATAATGAATGGCTGATAACTGCATGTTGTATGCATTTTCTGATATACGACAGACCTCAATAATATATACAAACGATGCATGCTCATTTTAAGTTATTTTAAAATTGAAACTATCATTTTTCAAGAGAAATAGAAGTACTTGACAAATAGAAGTACTTGGATCTTTCCTATTTCATTCATGCAAGGAAATGCAGCTCACCATGGTACAAGTATACCTGGTGTAATCCAATGCATATTTTGGCATGAACATGTTACACAATTTATAAAATTCTCTCTTGCTTAAAAATAGTCCAAAAATATGTGGTTTGGTAAGGAAAAACTATAATCATAATATTGCTCTATAACTATGGATTAATCCTGATAAAATAATGTTAGTGAGGGTAAGTATTACAAAACAAAGATTTGCCTTACTCAAAGAAGAAAATAGCTAGTAGAGCACTTGCCTTTATTTTGACAGTCCTGTATTTTATCTCAACCACAGAAAATATATTAAATAAAAGTAATAAAGAATGAGAAATCCAACTCAAGGTTAAGTCACATACAGTTACTGATGATTGACCATAATGTATATTTGTGACCAAATGTTTGACAACTAGAAAAGGTCTGATGAGAGAGGAAGTGAATTTGGTTGAGATATATTGTACTCATGTATGGGATTGTACTAATTATAATACTACAGCAATAGATTATGAATATGAACACTGACTCATTTATTATGATTTGTGTTATATAAATGCATGAGTATAATAAAATCTATTTTCTAAACAGAATTAGAAAGTACATACTTACAAATAAAGTTATATTTGACATACCTTTGCATAAACATAAAACCAATAATATAAAATTTAATTTATTCCATCTTTCATACCAACACTTATAATCTTAGCAATTACTTTCATACCTCATTATAAATATGTGGTTTGTTATATATCTAATTATAAATATTTGGTTTCTTATAGTTGAGTCATTTAGTCCTGATTTCACTGAGTGGCTAGACAACACTAAACAAGTACATTAATGTAAAGAAAAATTATAATTTCTAGTTTCTAAGAATGAGTCCTCTGATTGGTATTCAATATTTAAAGCAATGGGAAGACCAAAAAGGATAACAAGAATTTAGATTTCTGAAGGACTGAAAATGATGAACAATTCAGCTAGGGAAAAAAAGAGAAAATGGAATGATAGTAATTTAGGAAAAAATATTGGCTGGTGTTTGGTACAAATGGTAAAACACCTGACTAACCAACATGAGGCTAATTACCTCCAGTAACAGAAAAAAGCCAATATTTATTAATTCTACTAATAGGTCGATCTAAGGGAGATTAAAATACTTTCACAACTTTCCTACAAAATATTTATAACATACTGGAGGCAACTACTCTATTGCATCAAACGAATTAAACCTATTGTATTTTTTTTTCCAGTCCTGGAGCTTTAACTCAGGGCCTGTCCCTGAGCTTCTTTTGCTCAAGGATAGCATTCTACACTTGAGACATGGTGCTATTTCTGGCTTTTTCTGTTTATGTGGAATTAAGGAATCTTACCCAGGGTTTCATGCATACTAGGCAAATACTCTACCACTAAGCCACCTTCCCAGCCTGCATATTGTATTTTTAAATTTCAATTTTAATAACATCTTGCTCATCCATATTTATATCTTTGTTTTCAAATAGGTATTGTTCATACTCTGCAGAAGAGTAGATTATAACAAATCCTTTTATACAATTTTCAAAACAACTAGAATTCAGACATTCACGTTCTATACTCTGTTCACTCATTTGAGTGTCCTAAGAGTCTTTTACTGATATATTTTTGGAATTAACACATTATGTGAAAATAAGAAATTAAAAATGGGGATAATACGATGATTTTGAATGTGGCAAAGGCCTATCAGTGAGTGAAAACCTATATGTTCAATTGGATCCTGTATGAATAAAACCAAACCTGAACTCCTCATCTGATCTCCGTCCCCTTGATACCTTGGTTATTTGTGTTTCTTTTTTTGCTTTGTCAATCATGGGGCTTGAACTCTGGGCGTTGGCTCTGTCCCTCAGCTCTTCAGCTCAAGTATAGCACTCTACCACTTGAGCCACTTTTGGTATTCTGGTGGTTTATTGAATATGAGTCTCATGGACTTTCTTGCCAGGGCTGGCTTTCAACCACGATCCTCAGATCTCAACTGCCTGAGCAGCTAGTATTACAGGCATTTAACACTTGCATTCTCTTTAAGGAGTTGTACAAAGGAGTTGCCATTCACAGAAGCAGTTAATGAATACAATGTGGTGTCTTAATCAATGCTACCCCTTTCTATATTCTCACCCACCCATCTCACCCCATCCCTTTGGATCACAATAGTGTTTATTATTTTTATTTTATAGTTGCACGAATAGCAACCTCCTGCATCTCTTCAGGCCTGTTGTGTGTGATTTCCTCATGAGAAATATCACCGAGGTTACCATATTTGTATTCAGAGGCTTCACAGATAACACTGAGCTTCAAATTCTCCTCTTCTTCCTTTTTCTACCCATTTATCTTTTCACTCTCCTGGGAAATTTAGGAATGATCCTACTGGTGGCTGGAGATTCACGACTGCACAACCCCATGTACTATTTCCTGAGTGTCTTATCATCTCTGGACGCGTGCTTTTCAACCATCATTACCCCCAGAATGCTACTAGATTTTGTATCAGTAAAGAAAGCCATTTCACTGTCTGGCTGCGCGGCGCAGATGTTTCTGGCTGTGACGTGTGGGACCACAGAATGTTTTCTGCTGGCTGCAATGGCTTATGACCGCTACATAGCCATCTACCACCCTCTTCTCTACTCAGTGATCATGTCACCCAGAGTCTTCGTGCCCCTCATCCTTGTTTCTTTCGTTGGGGGAATCCTGCACTCTTCTATACACACAGGGGCCACCTGGAGCCTATCTTTCTGTGGCTCCAATGAACTTCAGCATTTCTTCTGTGATATCCCTCCTCTACTCGCGATCTCATGCACTGACACGCACATCAATCAGCTTCTGCTCTTCGTCTTTGTGAGTTCCATTGAGATGGTCACTCTCCTGATTGTCCTGGTGTCCTATGGCTTCATCCTGTTGGCCATCCTGAAGATGCGTTCAGCTGAAGGGAGGAGAAAGGTGTTCTCCACGTGTGGCTCTCACCTGACTGGGGTGTCCATTTATCACGGGACGATCCTCTTCATGTACATGAGGCCGAGTTCTAGCTACGCTCTGGAGCACGACATGATCGTGTCGGTGTTTTACACCATCGTGATCCCCATGCTCAACCCCATCATCTACAGTCTCAGAAACAAAGACGTGAAAGACGCACTGATGAAACTATGTAGAAAATATCGGTGTATGAATTAAAAATTAATTTTCACCTTGAGAATTCATCTGTAAGGGAAAGAAACAAGCTTTATTTCTGAGTGTGTCTTATTGTCACTTCTGAGAGCAAAAACAAACAACATAAAATTTAAAAAATCTGTTTTAGTACAGTGATGCTATGCCTGAAATTGGAGACTGAGTCCAAGAAGATCCACATGCCAAACAAGAGTCCAAATCACTTTAGCCACACCACCTCTCCCTCTCCTCCTTTTATTGATTGATTAATTCATTCATTCATTTGCTCGACTATCCATGTGTGTGTGCATGTTTATGTATATACATATATATATGTATATACATATATACATGTATATATGTCAATATTTTGGTACTGAGAAAGGAATTTCCACTGTGACTATACTAATATATTAATTTACTATACTAATTTGACTTCCCACAGCAATCAACGATGTTTCCATTTCTTCTTATATACAAAGTTATATTGCTGGAAAAACTTTTTCTCCCTGAACATGGTCATTCTGAGTGCACTGAGCAATAATGTCACTTTAGCTTTTATTGACATTTCTCTGACAATTAAAAATCTGGACATTTTTTCATGTATTTACTGGCCATTGGTTTATATTAGAAATATTCTTAGTTTATTTGTGGATTTATTAATTGAATGGTGAAGTTTAGAGATGTTTCATATTTATATTTTGTATATTCTAGATATGAATTCGCTAATTAGATGAACAGCTGACAGATATGTACTCAATTATTGCATTTTCCTATATTTTATATATTAATATTAAAATTATGGCCAGAATTTATTTTCATTTGCATTGTACAGATACGTTTTTCACATTGCTTTATTTTTTATCTTAAAATACTTTGAATATACTGCCACTCAAAAGCATGTGATAAAAGAGAACAAGCTGGTATGACACCTGATTCATAACTTTTCCCATCACTAATTAAACATCATCATTGAAACAACTCAGTGCACAAACTTATACTCAAAACAATGAGGAAACAAAATATACCACTACAATAACTTCCAGGAGACAGATAATTAGGAAAGTTGTGTTGAAGAAGTTAGGAAGATCACTTTTATATTACCTGCTCACTTCCCACTTTGCTGAATCTCATGCAATGCAATACAAAATTAATGTAATGTACATATGAGGTGTGTGTTCTACTTGGATTAGAGAAGACAGATGAAAAAGATGAAAAGCTATGGTCAAAATACTTCATGTACGTGTTCAAATATGAAAGTGGAATAGGGGATCTTCTCCCAAACTCATGTTTGGAAAAGTGGAAGAGAAAATAAGGGAGAATGTTGAGGGTAATGAGGGTAATGCACCCTTGTATTCTGTCAGACCACAGTTAAATAGTACTAGAAATCAATACCAAGTGAAATTAGAAAAAAATATTGAAATACATGGAGATTGCAAAATACATCGTTTGAACAACCAGGAAAATAAATGATGAAATAAAAATAAATATTAGAAAAATCTAAAGTAAGAGTGAAAACTAACCATGCAAAATTTCTTGTCTTCACCAAATAAAGTGCTAAAAAGAAAGTTTAGAGCTACAGTTGTGTACATTAAAAAAAAACACAGCAACAAAAACTTGAGATCTCAAACCTAAGAATGATCCAAATTTCTAGAAAAGAAGAAACTAAACATATGATAAGGAGACAAGACGAAATAATAAAAGTTAAGACTAATGTTAATAAATAGAGAATGAAAAATAAGAAAAATAACTGAAGAAACAGAAAAGTTCATTTTTGGAAAGGTAAACAAGATTAACAAACACTTAACAAAGTGAATAGAAGACTCAGTTGAATAAACTGTAGATACCATAACATTAACATAAATAGCAGTGATTTGGATGATTATTATATGGAAATACTTGGAAAACTATAATCTGATAAATTAGAACATCTAGAATAATTCAATAAAATTCTAGATGTATTTAACTACTAAGTCTGAGCCAAAATAACATAAACCCCTGAAACTGATCTGTAACAATTAAATGAGAGGAGAAAGGGGGGAAAACGGAAGATACTACAAAATCAAAATTGTGTGTGTGAAGTTAGCATGAGATACTGAAAACAGAACAATACTTATGCATTTCTTCTTGTACATATTCAAGTAAACATTCTTTACACAGTGTGAAGTGATTAATGCAATTATATTTTACAGTGGTTCTCATGGATTTATCTGAATTTTACTGTATTCTATAACTTTTTAGGAAACTTTTTGCTCATTACGTAATTATACTTTACAATGCAAACTCCTTAGCAAACAATTTTCCACCTTAACGTTTTATAATTCCTTTATATAGAGTCAGTCTTAAACAAATATTTCTCTGAAAATTTCTATTCCACAGTAATTGAAAATTTCATGTTCTTTTAGTTACACCATGTAAGCATTAGATTTATAAATTAGTGTAAATGTTAGACGTCAATTTTGGAAATAAGTTTTTGCATGTGTTTGACCTATGATTTGATAGTGAAATAATCACCAAAGAGAAAAAAACACGATAAAACTACTCTCTCGAGTACATGGGGGGAAAACACTGTTGTATACAATATTAATTTAGTTAGAATGGCTTTCAGCCATTTCAGCCTAGATGAATGTGCTTAGTCAAAGTACTGCAGAAAATGGACTAATGGTATTGAAATGATAAAACTCTGCCTTCTAATTTTAGTGACAGCTTTTTAAAAGACTTTATTCGATAGTAAAACAACATTCTGTTTTATTACAAATTAGGACATGCTTTCCAAAGCAGACTGTGCCTATAAATTATCAAAATTTCTAAATAACAAAAAAGAGATAGACACACTGATATTTTTAATGAGGTCATTTCCTCCTTATGACATTTACCACATTATAAATATAGTATACCTGGGTATACTAAAACTAGGAAATTCTGTATGAATCACCTTGACAGTTATTAAAAAATACACTAAAGAAACAAACTTCCAAGCAAGAATGACTAATCAGACAGCCAACTCCCTTTAAGAAAAAAAAAATGCCTTGGAATGTGAAGTAATAACAAGAGAGCTATGGTGTCCAGACTGGATATTCTTTTTTTGTAACTAAAATATCACTAACTAACAAAAATATATACATTGGAAGGTCAAGGGTCTAAGAAAAATATCATATATATATATATTTAAATAGTACCTCACAAATTATATGATGATAATTTTATTTCTTGAGAAAAATCTATGTGAAAAGTAATGCCTTTAGCCTTTGAGCTTCCATTCTTGAACTAATACCACCTAATTTTGCTGGGAAATTGGCTCCTGAGAATGACACATTGTTGCCTGATTGTCCATGAACTCTAAGTAAAATGGCTTGGAACTAACTAGTGTACAAGAAGGAAGACACAGACTGTCTTGCAGATAATCATGCTACCTCTACCTTCTTGGAATGTTTCTGAGGCAGACCTTCCTGGTAAAATTTCCACATATTCAACTTGAACAAAATTTGTATAGTGATTTAATTTTCCTTAGAAATAAAATATAAACATTCAAAAAATAAAAATATCTTTGAAAGTAGGAATTAAGTGCCACATTGTAAATATTTTCTGACCCTAAAATAGTTTTCATATTCTATTTCTGAAACAAATTGGGGTTGATGAATTCTGTGATATTGGAGGAATACTTTGGCTCCTCGTGATAGTGTTACACTGTAAATTGGGAGAGATTTATCAGGTGGAAAACCCAGTGATTTGCTGAAGAAAATATCTGTCCACCTAATGTTTGTGTCTTACCTAAAGTAATGTAAGAATTTGCGGTTACATACATAGAGAGTTGATCGAATTAGAGTCTAAGATGTCCATGATTTAAAAACAGAATTTTGGAACAATTTTTATTTAAAGGTTCAATGTAAGAAAATGTGGTATAATCCGGAAAGAGATAGGTAAGTGTGGCATACACACTTAATATACTTTGTAGAATAGGTAAAGTGAACTTAATTTGTAGTTGACCTGGAAAACTAAGGAACAGCATGTGAGAAGTTAAAGATTGTTCTAACATTCTTTATTTAATCTCATTCTTTTTGTTCAGCTTTGCAGAAATAGCTATCAACTGGAATAGAACATCCTACCCTGCGGTATGGAGTGAGAGGCACCATGTGTATTTACATAAGACATTGAAGCATTTTGCACCCCTTTCCATATCTATAACATGTTAAAATAATAGTGTGCATGGTAAAAAGGCTTTATGGAGATTAAATATGATAAGAAAATCACTGGACGTTTAAGTCCCTTCTAAATAAGAAAGATGTTATTTTATATAGCAAATCCAAATGTTACTTTGTGTCAAAAAATCTTTGTGACCTTTGATTATTGTTAAAAATAATGAAGATTTATTTTCACTTTTGAGACAAATTAATTATTAAATAATACTGGTTGAGCCCAGTTCTGGTAGGTCATCTGTGTAATTTTAGTTGCCCATGATTCTGATATCTGAGGCTTAATGTTGAAACACATGCTGGACTTATACCAAACGCTGAACTTGTGATAGGTTATTTGTATAAGGAATGCTTTTCCTTTATGAGAATATATCAGTGACTAAAGGAAATACACTGAGCTAAATATTTGCGAAAGACATAGCTATGAAATGAAAGGGGAGAGATTATAAATATCTTTATTAATGTTTTAATCATATGGTATTCATGATGAAAAATCATGTAGAAACCAGGATCACAACATAATGATGGTTAATTATATATGCAATCTCCACCAAACTGAATGTGGAGGAACTGCAAGTAATTCCTTTACAAGTAAAAATGAGATATAGGGTTCACCTCTATCTCTTATTAAATAGATTACTTGAATTTTTAGCTTCAGCAATAAGGCAAGAGAAAAAAGTTAAGGTAAAAATTGGAAAGAAGAATCCAACTTACTCTTAGAGTAAGAGATTCTATGCTTAAAAGATACTTAAATTTTTTATCATAAAACTCTTAGATATAAGAAATATTTTTGGTAAAGTAGTAGGAAACAAATCAATCTATAAAGTAGTTTCT